GAGGAGGAGGAGGACCGCTAGCCATAGGAGGGGGCCATCTCCTCCCACGCCACGTGAGGAGGACCGCCAGCCACAGGAGGTGGCGCCCATGGATGAGTCAGACGAGGAGCTAGTTTGGCAGATGGAGGAGGAGGAGGAGGAGGGGGGGCGGCGGGCACGGGTTCTACTTCCTCCAACTCCTCTTCGAGTGTCTACTTGCGAGGTCCCGCGAGCCTCCCACAGGTTCCGCTTCCTCACCAACGCCCAGTGATTCATCCCGAAGGACAAAAGTAAGTAACTGTATATGTTATCACCACTACTTCATATGATATGATGAAAAAAACTAATAATTTTTCTTAATCACTTGTGAAGGAACTGGGTGGTTGTGTTGGGTGGTAGCGCATGGCTAGTCAACGGCATCCTGGGTCTTCTGTGCAGGCAACACTTCCCCAGCATTGTCACATACGCATCGAAGACAGAGCTGGCCTACTCGTTTGACCACTACGTCGTCGCCTCCGATGCGGAGTACCCCAACAAGGCGGTGCGGGTGAAGGCAGAGTTTTGGGTAAGTCTTCCTCACACAACATTGCTCAATACGTCGCATTCATTGGACTTTTCTTGAAATAATGAATGGATACATCGCTTTTGTATGCAGACTTATTACAGATGCAAGGAGGGATTTGAGGCCAGGGCAGAGCAGGCGACTACCAAAGCCTGTAAAAAACTCATCACCGACATGCATCACAAGGTGCGCATCCAGGCCATCGTAACCTACTACGGGTCGAAGCTTGGAGAGAGGAAAACCAAGAAAGACGCAAGAGAGATGCAACTGACCCGAGAGTAGTACCTTGAGGTAAATGAAGAACATCAATATTGATTCGTTTTGAGATTAAGTTGGTTTAATTTGATCTTCTTATATGTCCAATACTTGATGACGTGTAGATGATTCCCTGGTGGTGCCAAGCGTATCCCGAGTGCTGGGCGATGATGGTGGAGAGGTGGTTCATGGAGGAGTACCTCAAGATGCACAGGGATGCCCGTGACCGTTGTTTGCTGATGCAAGGTCTAGCACACCATCAAGGCAGCCGCAACCTCATCGGATGCAAACAAGCATGGGTACGCGAATTGATTTATCTATTGTCACACTCAGTTCTACCTAATTTCTAATCATCGTGCTGTCGTTCTCGCAGTCGGTGTCACATAGTGGCCAGGCTTGCTTGGACTTCCAGGCATGGTGTATGGCCCACAAGGGCAAGGCGACGTCTGACGTTTCCTTCAACCTGGAGGACCCACCCGAGGCATACATGAACCCGAGCGTCCACTCCCGCATCAGTGAGTACACTAAGGTGGCGAGGTTGCTCCATGGGTCAGACCACGATCCGAGCACCCAGGACTTCGATGGAGAGGCCGTCATGAGGGCGGGGCAAGGCAAGAAGCATGGGCGGTTCTGGCTTGGCGACGGCATCATCGACACGACCTCTACTCCCTCTCTCTCCCAGATCCGAGCACGGAGCACGAGCGAGAGCCTAGCCATTCGCACACGGCCGACCGTTGCACAGCACCGGGTCGACGCACTCAAGATTATTCCTGTTTTACTCATCATACATTGATCTTTACACACCTTAATTAGCTTTGCATTACTGAAACATTGGAGTGAAATATTGTAGGCCCAGCTGGAACAAGAAATGAAGGAACGTCAGGAGCTGGGGGCCCAGCTAGAGGCCGAGCGGGCCGAGCGGCAGGCCCAGGCGCAGAGGCTGATGGACATTATGGATTTCCTACAAGGGCTTGGGCAACGTATGGGCTTGTCTCTGCCACCTGGGCTGTTGGTTCCACCTCCGCCTCCGCATCCTACAGCTGCAGCTACTCCTGTGAGTATCAAAGTTTTTTACTTTCACTTGTGCTTTGCTTGTATGGCCTCTATTGTCCTAGATTAGCTATCAAAATAATCTTGTCTCATATGCAATATTTTCTCCTTTGTGCAGTCTCCATCTGACGGTGGTTCGAATAATCCACCTCATGCACCTCCGAATGATGCATCTGGGCCTTCACCACAGTCGCAATGGCCGAGATGAGTGCATGTTGTATTTTTTACATTTGTTGTTCACTTGGTGATGGACTTGTGATATACTTGTGATGCACTTGTGGACTTTGATTAACTTGTGGACTTATTTGGATGGACTTGAGCACTTATTATTATATATGTGATATATATTGTGATGGATGTGTGGATGGATGAGATATATATGTGATGGATGAGATATATATGTGATGGATGAGATATATATGTGATATATGTTTGTATGAATGTATTTGTCATGATGGAATGTAAAAAAAATTGTCGTTTTGGGTCACTTTGCCGAGTGTTGCACTCGGCAAAGGACCCCTTTGCCGAGTGCAATGGTCATAGCACTCGGCAAAGCTGGAAAAATGGGCGACCAGAAAACAGATTTTCCAGCTTTGCCGAGTGTTGTGACCATAACACTCGGCAAAGAATTTTTTTTTATAAAAAAAATTAAACTTTGCCGAGTGCCGGCCATAGGGCACTCGGCAAAGAAATTTTAAAAAATTCAAAACTTTGCCGAGTGCCATCCATAGGGCACTCGACAAAGAAATTTTTTTAAAAAAAATAAAAAATCTTTACCGAGTGCCTTCCGGGTTGACACTCAGCAATGAAATTTAAAAAAAAATGAAAAACATTTGCCGAGTGCCCTATGGCTGGCACTCGGCAAAGAATTTTTTTTAAAAAAAATAAAAACACTTTGCCGAGTGCCTGTAGGGTTGGCACTCGGCAAAGAAAATTTTTCAAAAAAAATAAAAGCTCTTTGCCGAGTGTCTTCCGGGTTAGCACTTAGCAAAGAATTTTTTTAAAAAAAATAAAAAATCTTTTCCGAGTGCCTGACGGGTTGGCACTCGGCAAAGAAATTTTTAAAAAATTAAAAAATCTTTGCCGAGTGCCTGCAGGGTTGGCACTCGGCAAAGTGACCGTCAACGGGACCGGCGCCGTGATGGTCACTTTTCTTTGCCGAGTGTCCCCGGGGCACTCGGCAAAGCCTTTGCCGAGTGCCCGATAAAAGACACTCGGCAAAGAGGGCTTTGCCGATCAAATTTTTCCGTGTGTTCTTTGCCGAGTGCAATTTGGCATTTGCCGAGTGCCTCAGGCACTCGGCAAAGAACTTGAATCCAGTTGTGTCAAACCACAACTCGATCGTTATTTTCACTCCAAATCTTACCAGATCATTCTCAACAATGATGAAACTTCTCCGGAGATGTTTCGGTTTGTAAGCAATGTACGTGACAACTTATGCGACACCTTCTCAAATTTTTACCACAGCCTCCACATATGATATCATGACATCTTATCAAATTTCATGATTTTTGGACTTCCTTTGGTTTTTATAGAATTTAAAAACCATTCAACCACACGCTCGGGGTCGTGTTTCCGAAATAAGATGTTCGAAACCCCTTATAATCTTATAGGTAAGGCCTCAAACTGGGTTGAATAACATGAATATCAATTTTATACTCATTTTTTCCAAATATTTGAATCACTTGCGGTTCAAATTTAACTTAATTCAAAAAATTGCTTGAAATACAATTAATTAGTTAAATATAGCAAATACAAAAATACACCAAACTTAAGCATGGAGTACCACATGTGGTATGTGGAGAGGTGAAATTTTTTGAAGTGCAGGAGTAAAAAAAAATTATACTTTGCCGAGTGTCTAATTTTGACACTCGGCAAAGATCCTCTTTGCCGAGTGCTCCATTTGGACACTCGGCAAAGAGCTGACGGCGGCAGGTTGGTTTAACGGCGGGCCAAAATTTGCCTAGTGTGAGACGTTGACACTCGGCAAAGAAAGTCTTTGCCGAGTGGCCTGTCTGAGCACTCGGCAAAGAGGACGTCTTTGTCTGAGTGCTGATCGTGAGCACTCAGTAAAATCTTTGCCGAGGGTCATAGCTTTGTCGAAGGTTGAAGTTTGGGCACTCGGCAAAGATAGCCTTTGCCGAGTGCCCGAGAGAAAAAACTCGGCAAAGCTTTTGGCACTCGGCAAAGCTTGCGATTCCGGTAGTGATAGGTGTGAAACTTTTCCCCCATCCTGGAGGTGAGTACACAACCACTTGACATTGGTTATCAGATGCTTCTTTTTTAGTTGTGACCCAGCACTATTTCTAAGGTCCTTTAGTGGTGCAAATTAAGCCTTTGCATCTATACTTCTATTTATCTAATATAGTCCTCTACAGTTGTATTGTAATGTTAGCGCCAATCCACTTACCTTACTACTGCACTAGCATTGCCTGTGCATTGTGATCACAAATAAGTATACCTCAGGTTTTGATTTTATAATGTAAATTTCCTCTGGTTTCAGATAGTAGTGTGCCTATAAAAATCAACCGACTATGTACATATGCAGATAGTTGAATACTTTAGTAAATAAAATGCTACATGCACATCTCTACATAAATCTCAACTCCTATAGAAGACTGAGTTGGTGATGATGGGGTGTCTGCCATCACCACCACTCTACCCCTATATGTCACCACCATATTTACCCATCATCCTGCCACTTACTACAAATCAGTTTCACCCTCACCCCAATCTCCTAGAACGACGTCATGGAACCAAGGTTCACTATATACACAAATGTACTCCTTTGATTTTGTATTTGCTGTTGCAACACACGGCCGGGCAGTTTGCTAGTCCATCTAGAAAAGATCTGGATTGAGGGTGCATACAGCACAGCACATCATGATCATCTCTGGCTCCTTTTGAAGGATAGAGATGTTCATGGATTTGTTCAAACACAATCACTTATAATATGAGTAGTTGCACGTACAAGATGCAATCATATTATAATTTTACAATATTATCAGCAGAAATTTAAGTGATTGTTGCAGAAATTTTAAGTGATTGTTGCAGAAATTTAAGTGATTATTGTTGCATATTGTACATAGAAATTTAAGTGATTATTGCATATTGTACAATTTGGGTTAACTTTTTGGGTTACCCCAGTCCATCAATGGATATAGTCAATCACAATGCTTGTACATTTGCTGATTTATCATGCATTGAGACTTTTTACAGCTCTTCCGTGCCACTAACTATTATACAATGTCTCGTCCACCATGTAGCATTAAGATTTTTGGTGACACGTATCCTAATGGTGTCTTGGGTGAACTCAAGGAAGGAGTTGCTTCTCACATATGTGGAAATCTTGTTGCACTTGCTTCGTTCAATGGTGATTTTACTGTAATGTGCTGTATACTATTTCACATTTGTATTTAGTCGTCACTAGCTAATGACAATTATGTTGCCTAGGTGAATCGAAATTATTTGCATGCACGGGATTTTTCATTGCCTGTGCTGATAAATGCCCGGCTATTCTGACATCAGCGAGCCTGGTTAGGAATCTTGATGGCACAATTATTGAGGGCTAAACGGTTGGTGCTCCTAATTATATTGTGCGATTCTTGTTCTTTCAAGACACTGCTTAAGTCTCGTTGTATTGTTTGCAGATTGAGGTGTTGCTTCCAAACAATGAACGCTGTGAAGGGAAATTGGAACATTATAGTTTACATTACAACGTTGCTCTAGTCAGCGTCAAGAATTATAATGTTGATTGTCCTGCGAATCTGAAACATCAGACGATGGATTATTCTACCAAGGTAGTAGCTGTGGGCCGTCGCTTTGAACCAGATTTAATTATGGCTGCAAGTGGAATATGTACCAGGTGGTCAGGCAAACTGGATTGCAATGATCTTCGTTACACTGCATGTACAATCACTATGGTAGCGCCATTGATTTTCTTTTTTTAATTGCCGCATGAATATGATGTACTTAGCCTTGTGTACTTGGCATCACAACTGACAATCTCTCCATTTAATTAACCTGGTTAGGCTGGGATTGGAGGGCCCCTTGTTGATGTCAACGGCAATTTTGTGGGCATGAACTACTATGATAGGAACATGGGAACTCCGTACCTGCGGTTTGATCTTCTCTGCGGAATTCTGAACTATTTTAAGACAGGACAGTAAGTGTGGGTTTCTCTTTCGGTGTTGAAGTTTTTGTTAGCGCTGCTAACAGGTTTTGTTTTGCACTTGACTGAGATTTGTTGGAACATTTCAATAATCAAGTTGGAGGAGGTTCAGTCAACATAATTTTTATTAAATCCAATCTTTTTGTGTTTGACAGAACAAATTATGAGAAGATAGAACCTCATTCATCATTACCTGGTCCGGTGGCCCATATTGTTAAAGATGGCGAGAAACAACCACCAAACAGGTAATGTTGATACATGTCGTTACAATTAAATTACCACCTTTGTAATAAATATATGTTGACCACACTAGGATGTTGGGAAATCGTTGAATGGCAGCTGGATGGGGGCTGGACAAAGTGAAGATATAGATACCTTCATGGATCAAGATGAAGATGCATCTAAAAATGAACGTCTAGCCATAGCCAAGCCCAATAGATGTTGGTACCGTAATGGAGCTTTTAGCGTGTACAAGTAGTCCTACGTACGGTCGTGGAGCTTTTACTACCGTGTACATACAAGTAGTCCTTATTCTACGTGCTCTGCTGAACCTGGCGTAAGCTTGTTTTAGCTGGATTCCTTGACGAATCTTTGTTTAATATTTGAACCCCCTCCCTACTTGTTATGTAACCGTGTGTTTGGTTGGGGGGACGAAGTGGGATGGGATGAGATGGCCCCGGGACCAGCCCTGTTTGGTTGGGAGGTGGAGTGGAGCGAGGACGTCCTCGATGTGAATACTCACCTGAGATGCGGGGCGACCCTGTCCTCCAAAATTTCACGGACGGGGTCCGTCCCAGGTGGGACGAGCGGCTCGCAGAGGTGCGCCGGACGCGGACGGGGTCGCGGATAGGAGCTGCGCCGGATGCGACGCGGAGGAGAGAGGAGCCCGCGTGGAGCAGAGGGGGCTTGGGATTTCGAGATCTCCATGTTTTTAACATTGCCATGCTGGCAAGGCAAGCGTGGCGACTCCTTCTATTCCTAGATACTCTATGTGCACAAGTGCTTAAAGCGAAGTATTTTCCAGGCAAAACCATATTGGAGGCAAAAGCAAGAGGAGGTATTTCTTATACTTGGCGCAGTATCCTTAAAGGGGCACAATTGTTGAAAGAGGGAATTATTTGGACTTGGAGGATAGGTGATGGGGTTTCTATTAATATTTGGAGTGATCCATGGATTCCGCGAAGTAGTACACGGCGAGTGATATATCACACCTCGAGGTGGGTCACTACTTCAAAAGGTTGCAGACCTATTAAATCCAATTATTGGTATGTGGGATGAGCAGCTGGTTAAAGATACCTTTTGGAAAGAAGATGCAAAAAATATTTTATCAATCCCACTGTTCGAAGATATGGAAGACTATGTGGCCTGGCATCCAGGTCCTAAGGGTTTGTTTTCTGTGAAATCAGAATATGCCTTAGGAATCCATGTTGGATATATTATGGACTTGGCTCGTATAATATTTAATAAATCAAATAAAACTCTATGGTATGTAACATTAAGTGTTGTATGGTTTAATACCATATAGGATTTTAATTGAACGTTGACTCAGCTTATTTGGTTGGAAATTATTCATCTTAATTGAGAAGCTGAGAAAAGGACACAGGCGTGCCACACGCGTGCGCCGCCGCCGCCGGCTGGGCCGGGCCAGTCTTTTGCCACTTAATCCACATAATTACGGAAGTTTTCTCTCCTTTATGGTGGAGGTGAGATGATTGCGCCGTTTCCGTTTCCCCGTCTCTTCGTGTCTCCGTCTTCTGGATTCCTCCGCTGGCTCTCTCCCTCCCCGTCCCAAGGCATAAAACAGAACGTCCTCCGTCAGTCCTCTTCCCCTTCCGCTCTCGAGAGAAACCACATCTCAGTAGTCCTCTGGCTTCCCCGTCCCGTACCTCTGCGCGCACGCGAACCTTGCACGGGGTGTGCGGCGATTAGGTTTTTGAGGAGCGATCCGCGACTGCTCGTCCACGTATGTCGTCTTCCTGGTGGTGATCGCTCACGAAACCCGTCTTCTTCCCGGTGATCGCTTACGGAACAGCAAGGCGTCTTCTTCCTGGTGACCATTCGTGGGACTGCACTGCGAACATCTTCCTGCATCGACTGCAGTCCACGACTTTGAGCAACGCACTATGTCGACTAGTGCGAATGGAGCCTCCGATGCCCTCGGCATGGGATCCTCCGCTGGGTACAATCTTATCTCTGTGATTACCGCAGTTTGCGTTCTTACTGTATCGATCTGTATGTCATGTTTGCATGCTGTAGCGTTCGTTAGTAATATACACATGCACATATATATCGTCACGAACATGTTATATTTCTGGATTAAATTGACCATGAAAATGCCTAAGATGAAGGTCTTTGTATGGCAATTTGTCCACAACTCTTTGCCCGTTAAGCGAAATATTTGCATGGCGAGGAGTCAAGTTGGACACCCTCTGTCCTATGTGCCACAGATTCAATGAAGATATTGGCCACTTATTTTTCAAATGCAAGCAAATGAGGCTATGCTGGTTGCTGCTGAATTTGGATGAAGTGAGGGGTAAATTATTGTCTTTATGTTCAATCTGAGAAATATTAGAGAAAATTTGGGATTTGGATTGCGATAAGCAACGTATGATTTTTCTACGTCTATGGTGCCGGTGGTCTGCACGCAACAAAGTGAACGCTGGGGAACGATGGAAGAGCGCCCAAGAAGTTGGCTTCCACCGTCACCGCTGCTTCATCTCTCCGTCTCGCCTTCCCTCCTCTCCGCACCGGCCTGCTCGGCATCGTCCTCCAATACCCTTCGCTTCCCTCTCCGCCGCCGCCGCGCCTCCCGCCCCCTCGCTGTCGCTGCCTTCAAGAAGCTCTCCGAGGCGTCCCCCGTGCCCATCCCTCAGGAGCCCACCCAGCCCCTGGTCGACGAGGACGCCCTGCCCCCCCCAAGCCCGGGGTCTACGGCGTCTACGACCCCGACCGGTGAGCTGCAATTCGTCGGGATTTCGCTCAAGGGCCACCGCCGGAAGGTCCCCGCCAACCTCTGCGCCTCCATCAAGGTACGGCATCGACTAAGCATGTACCTTTGAGCTTTAGTATATACTGTAATATGAAGCGAGGCTAAATTAAAGTAATTGGGAGTATATCGTATTATCACAGTACATATGCTCCCAATTACATTAGTTTAGCCACGCTTTGGAGCTAAACTAGCAGTTACCTTTGAGCTTTGGTATTGGGGATCGTTAATTTGGGCTAACTGATACAGCACATGCTAATTTGTGCCACTGAGGAAGGAATGGTTTAGCGTGTGTCCTCTCTCAAAAGGGCACCATTTTTGTAGTTGCCATTAGTCGATATGCTTATCTTCTCCATTCACCCCAATCAATAAATATTCTCATTGATTGGACATTGTATAAACATGTCTGGCTAGTATCAGTCGGTCGATCCTCCTCCTCCGCCTGTAAGCCCGTCTCTGCTAGAGCGATGAGCTCGCTCAGTCTGCCTGTGTCGTCCTCAGCCTCCTCCGCCTGCATGCCCGCCTCTACTAGAGCAATGAGCTCGCTCAGTCTGCCAGTGTCGTCCTCAGCCTCCTGCGCCTGCATGCCCGCCTCTGCTAGAGCAATGAGCTCACTCAGTCTGCCAGTGTCGTCCTCATCCTCGTCCCCCTCATTAGACAACACAATCGGTGATTAAACGGTGCGACCAGTTTGCGATCTATGCTCATCTAACTTCTTCTTCTCATACCTTGCATGAGCCACCTCTACGGCATGATCCTCGTTGCAACCAATCCCTTCATGTATAAAATGCAATCAGTTAGCAACGCGATTATATTACATTTAAAATCAGGCAACGAAAAAAGGCTTTCAAGCACTCACTGGCACATAATGCAGCAACATGTTTGTTCAAGACCTGCATCTGTACTCTTGTCTCCTCCCTTGCCTCATTCCTTGCCCTCTCCTCCTCTAACATCATCCGCCTCTCCAATCCCCATTTGTTAAGCCCAACATCGATCGGGTTACAAATACCGCGCTGTCTAGCAAACTCACGCATCTTTTCTTTGTGATGTTTAACGAATAGGTTGACGTAGTCAGGTCCATATCCCCTCTTTCGTGCAATTAGTTTCCTCTTCTTCAGTTCATCCAATAACTTAGCTTGACCATCGTAATGTTCCCACCTGCATTTCCTAGTGCTCTGTTCAAAAGAAATATTATATCATATATGTCTAAGCAAAAGAAACAAAATACGATTTCATGTTTACCACAAAAATAACGAACCTCTTCGTACTTGTTGGAACTAGAGGTTCCGGACAGAGTGAGGGAGACAGGGGCCTCCGCCCACCAGGAGTCGCCCTCGGGCGGAGGCTCAGGATAGGCACGACCGGTGAACTTGTGGGAAGCTGGCACGAGAAACTAGAGCTCAACTACTTCCTGACAGAATTTATTACAATGCCCCTCAACTGCTACAGTACATTCCTGGAATATTCCGCCACTGGTCTCTTGTTTGCGGGGCAATCCTGCCACACCGTCTCCAAGTAACGGGCCTCCATAAGCGGTGGGCCTACCGTGCCTCGATCCTCGGCCCAAAGGCTCGGGTTCCCGATGCAGGCCTCCGTCTTCGGGGGCGCGCCGTCGCCTTGGCGGGTCTCCGCCGGTCCGGTCGGAGACATCGTCCGTATGTCTCCGCCCGGTCGCGCGGGGGCCGTGGTTCCCGACGCTGGCCTGCGTCATCGGGGGCACGCCGTCGCCTTGGTGGATCTCCGCCGTCCGGTCGGAGACGTCAACTGTGGGTCTCCGACCGGCCGCGCGGGGGCCATACTGGCGCGCTCGCGCGGACCATGGGCGCCTGCGCTTGAGTACCTACACACACTTAGGCAATATTGTTTGTTTGGTTAGTTCAGAGGCAAGGCGGCCTCCGCCCTCATCGCCGGAGGCGCCCGTGAGCCGAAGCGGGGCGGCGTCCGCCTGGGCATAGGTCGGAGGTCTCAGCGCCCGGCCTGGGTGGAATTCGCGACAAGCCCGCCGAGCCTCGTGTAGTGCCCTACAAGCATAGCCAGGAAAGTTCCTTTTGTAAGTGCCAGGTCTCCGCCCTAAGACGGTCGAAGATGCCTTGGCGACACCATGCTGTCGGGGGCCTTCGTCACCCGCCGAGGCCGTGTTACAACAGTTCCCCCCTTTTGAGACCATGGTTCGCCAGAGCGTGCCGTGAGCTCAAAACGCCTTGGCCAAAGGCGTCCGCGGGGGCGAAGGCCATATTCATCGGCGTCTTCGAGCGAGGCCCCGCTACTTCCCCCCTGGCCCGCTCTGGCGTGGCTGCTTGGTCTCGTTGAGAGTAGCCGTTGGGCAGCAAATCTAGCTGTTGTCCTACGGCGCGGCCGTTTATGCCGTGTCAGTTTCCGTTGCATACCTTGCGACTTTTTTGGAGATGACCATTGTGCGGTAGGCGAATTTTCAAGAGGAGACCGTTGTAAGGCGGGAGCCGGACCGCCTACCCGCCGCCTATATAAGGGTG